AAATAAATACATTGAAAATGTGAATAAAAAAGTTATCTATATAAAATATTTTATATGATTCTCCAGTGGTGTATGATCGCTGATCAAAATCGGTTTGCAGATTTCAACTAAAATTTGTGCATCATTTCTAATAATTTCGAATTTTGAAAAAATTTAATTTTACTTTTCTAAAAATATTGTTCTGTTCTAAATTTTTAAACATAAAATTTTGCATATGTTTAGGCGAACTTAAATTTATAATAGAACATTAAACATTGTGTACGTACGTTATTTTTTTCTAAAACACTAATTAATTACCTATTTTATACGACTCCATCTACAATTTCTTTCAAATCATGTAGGAACTTATCATATATAAAATATTTTTTTGGCGTTTTCTTTCAATTACCAGTCTTAAATTACTCATTGACATTTAACTAATCACGTCCAGTAGGTAAATTCAAATTGTCGTCAGACCTACTAATAGTGAGGTATCTTAACCCAACATAAAATGCACCTGGGCGGTTCTAACATTCTAAAACAAGTCAAACTGATTATTACCATTAGTTTTTCTTTATCGTGTTTTTGTGTTCGAATTCCGTGAAGGAGGCAACATATCATTCAATACCCGTAAAATAATTAAATAATAAAAAATTTTATAAAAACCAATATTTTGATAATAAACGCTAAAATGCTAATAGAAGCTAATAGAAAAACCTAATTTAATTTACTTTCCAATAGTTTTTCTATTTTCTATTGTCCGTTTTTATACAATTAATTGCACGTCACTGTGTATGTTTTAATTATTACAATATATTATTGTTTCAATAATTTTATTATGCTTGAAATATGTATATAAAGTTTTAAACCAATTATTTAATAAAAATGAGAAAGATATTTGAATTTAATAACAACAATATAATTTTTATCCTTGGTATTGTTATAAAATGCCATAAAAATCAAAACCAGAAATTTAATATGCATGTATGTATGTTATTATAATTTTATAATTTTAAATTATTTTAAAAAACTCCTGTCCCTGTAGTTACAGTAACAAAATAAAAAACTGAATGTAATTGGATGGAAAATTTTTATTTTAATTCGTCCAACCCTATAGCCCAATAGACCGAAATAATAAAATTACAAATCTAAAATATTTACTTAGATTAATTATTATTTATAACGTAAAAAAACAAAATACAAATCATTTTTATAACAAATTTTAAATAAATTACTGAAAATAATTGGAAATAATCTAGCTATCATATAAATTTTATTTTGAAAAAAAATTTTTTTAAAGTAATCATAATATGTTTAGAATTCAGATTTAACTATGTATGTACGTATATGTATGTATTTAGACATTTCTAGTTTAAACCTGGAAACATAATAGAGCTATTGTTTATTTAATTTTTCAGTAAAATAACAATATTTTTTGCTATTTTAAACTTTTGTGCGAACAAAATTTCCGAAAAAGATTCATATAATTCAATAAAAAACAAATCTCAAATTTTCGGATTTAGAAATGCTAAATTGAACTAAAATTTGGAAAACCAATTAAGTACATAATGTAAATATGTAACTCACGATTTGAAGATTTTTGTGTTAACGCACAAAAAAATGGTGCATAGTTATGTTCAAATGTATGTAAAATTTAATTCCAAAACCACTGTACAATCCATAATAGTCGATATTGCATACCAACAAAAAAAGGACAAAAAATATTTCCTCGCTGCATAGTTCACTGCCTAGGTAACTCTGATGCTTAGCTAAAGTCAAGAAGAAGGTCGTAATGCTCCCAAGAGGAGGAAGGACAAAAAATTAAGTTATATAAAATTGGTATATTTAATTGATTTAATCCGAATTTGATCAAATGGTTAATTGTTTTCCTTGAAATACTTAAATCCATAGTACATAAGTGTATATAACATTCAAAATCGGAAGTGGTTGTTAAACTAAAAAAAAAAATTATAGCATGCTTCTTTTTAAATTGCGTTTTAAAATCTTGTGATTATTGTTTTTTTCAACATCAATTTTTCTCGAAATTGAATCAAACTTACTTAGTTACAGACTTGAATAGTATGGAAAATTTATTGAGAAAATTGTACTATTCTTGATTGTGTGATTTAGTTCGCTTTGTCTTATACCAACAAATATGCACAATTCTTATAGAATCGTAAATTCATACTTGAATACTTACATAAAAATTAGTTATAATTATAATTTTAATATATTTTAATAAAGGAACACAATTACAAAATTGTAAAGACATACATAATTTGAACATTCTATTACTTAGTAGTTTAAGTTTTCCTGTCTATTAAATATTAAATATAGATAACATTAAATGCACTCTTAAAGAGACTAGACTCAAATTTTGTATTGTATACCATTTAAAACACAACAAATTAAGAATTGACCCTTTAATAGATTATAATACATCAAATACGCTAATCCATTAAAAGTGATTAAATTTCATAAAACATTAAATTTTATGGTTGGTAGTAGGTTTTTTTAGTTTTTATTATTTAGAATAAGTTGTTTAATAAATAATTTTTATGGATTGACATGAACAGGATATGAGAATTTTTGAACTTGGCAATCAGTGTCTGCTCAATTCTATATACATGTTATCAAAACTTTTATATGTATGTGTTATTTGTCTTTCCATTAATGACAAAATAATTCTCAAAATATAAATATTTTATCTGCATTGCACAATATGCAATGCAATTATGCATGTCCTTTTTTCTTATTTTTTGCATTTTCTTAAAACAGGTACTTTTGAAATTTTATTTTCCATGAATTTTTATTTATGTATAGTTTATTTTTTATGCCTTTTCACCTGAAACGCATGAACTTTTCGAAAATGAGGTTATTTCAAGTATTTTTATATTCATATTCAATATTTTTATAAACTTTTTTTATACTCTATAGTTATAGAAGCATAAAAACGGTATTTTATATACATAAAAATTCTATTATATTTTTTAGAACACAATTAGGCACGCTTGTTCTAAATTTAGTTTCATCATTTTATATTTTATTTTTTTTGATTTAACTTCTTTATTTTTTAACTTTAGAAGTCATGATAATAAGAAAATTTACATCACGCCTTGATTATGCTCAAAAAAAAAAGCAAAAACAAAAAAGAAAAATTACCACCATGTCATAACCTATTGCAGAATTATTATGATAATTTAAAGAAAATTGTTAAAAAAACAAGAAATAAAAAAAAAAATAAAGCAAAACCGGTGAAATAAAATAAATGCAATTTTTGGTGCATTTTTTTTTTTATGTTGCACTTCATTTTTAAGTATGGAAAAAGTTGTCACATTATGTGACTGTTGAAAAGTATACAGAAAATGGGGTGGATGATAATATGGAAAAAGACAAAAATGGAAAAGAAAAAAAAATTAATATTATGCACATGTAACGAACTTTTACTTTTCAGATATGACAATTTTTGTGTATAACATGCACATACATATATTATGTAAGCGTATATGTGTATGAATATATATACATAAAATTTGTATGTGCACAATGTATGTGCAAATGAATAGTAGTAGGTGGTAATTCCTTTTAAATATAGTTTTTTGTATACGACCATACTATTTATTCCCGTATATGTAAATTATATAATCAAAGAATAAAAACAAGAATATAAGGAAAAAATAAATAAAAAACAAAAGGAAAATTAAGATTTCATTATAACCATCTGAGGTTTTTTTTTCTTGTTTTTTTTTTTTTGTTTCATTTCATTTAAAACCAAACTGATGAAATAGGGTCAAAGCAATTACAAAAGGCTTACAATATAACTGGGTCAATTACTTATAAATTGCTGGTTCCATACATTATAATATATTATATTATATTATATATACATGTATGTATGTATATATAGATACATTATATATTTTTGTATTATGTAAATCTGTATAGTTCACACATCGGACATAATATAGATATATATCCCATATATTAACCTATAGTTAAATCAAATAAATTTTAAATGCAACTTTCATTCTTACACATATTTATTTTGTACATAATATAATTATATGTAGATTAATGTTTTATTATTGTGAAGGATTACAAAGAAAAATTATTTAAGATTGTATACCTGGAATTAGACTTGCATAATAAATATACCATAAGAAAACAGGAAAAAATGTCGTACTTTTAATGAAATTAAGAATTCAAATCTGTTAATTTTTCTATTCTCATGTTCTCTGTATAATTATAATACGAATTTATATGCATAGTTATTGTATACATATAATATAAGACATACATATAAGACATCTTATGAAATCAAATATGTATTTTTCAATTCACTTTTTATACAAATATATTGGGAATTTTCAAAAAATTTATATGTATATGTATTTACCGGGCTTCGGGGCCATATATTGAAAATGATTTGGATAAAAACATAGGTAGAGTATACCGTTTTATTTATGTGATGCCCGAAATGAAAGGACCAAATAACTTTTAAAGTTGTATCGAGCTTCCACAAAAGTTTAAGAAATTTCAACGAGTTTTATCAAACATAAAAGCCCCATAATGTATATGTTTTATGAAATTTCAATACAACAGGTTTAATAGTTTCAAACGTTTGTGCGGGCATGAATATACTTTAAACTTTGAGGATTAAAAGCCTGATCTAAAGAAGACTCTTTAAAATTCTCGTTTTGTTGTTAATGCTGTGGCAATATTTTAACGCAATTTAAAAATTTACATTTATTTACCAAAAAGAGTTCATAAAGAAATAGGTACATAGTTTAGTTTAATTTTGAGCTCTTTGCATGTTTGTGCTACTAGCACAAAATTATTCTAAACATAGATTTTAAAAAACAAAATTTCTGTAGATTCATTTAATTTTTTTTATATAATAATTATTAATGATTATAATATTAATTATACGAAAATAATTATAAAATACAAGAATTAAGCATGGTATGCAAAATATAAAATGCGTTTTTAATAAAAATTAAAATACAATTTAGTAAACTTACTTGAACTTTATGCCAATGACCATCATATAATTCACGTCCAACAGTTATTATTTGGGCACCACCACCTAAATTATAACGTAAACGTAATGCGCCTTCAACTAATTTTAATTCGAAAAAATCAAATGTTCCACCATCATCAGTATATAATACTAAACCATTTGGTTGTTCAGTTTTAAATTCTAATTCCAATGAACCATTTAAACCCGTATACCATTTACGAAATTGGGCAAATGAATTTTGTGAACCGTCCAATTGAAAACCATCACATATTCTAACAGTTATCGATAACATTAAATACATTATAATTATATAATATTTATATAGGAGATTTTTATTCAATTTATTATTTTTATTATTATAATATTGTATGTTATCATCATTTTTCTCATTATTTTTATTATTATTACCATTAATATTATTTGAATTATAATTAATATACTTATTATAATTATTATTTATATTTAATTTATTCATGAAATTATAATAACTATTTTTACATTTATAATAATAATTTTTAATATTGCTATAATTATTTAGGATATAAGATCTAAATGATGGTGAATTAATAAATTTTTTCATCATAATGAAATCATTCATTTTACTAAAACAATTATTACTATTATTATTATAATTATTATTATTGTTATTATTATAATTATTATTATTTATATTAATATTTTCGATAGTTTTATATGAAGCATGCAACATAATACTTTCAGTAGATTTTTTATGTTTAAATTTAGTTTCAATGAAATTTTTATTTAGAATATCATCATTTTCTATTATTTCACTAGTATCATTATTATATTTATTTTTATTATTATTTCTATTTATATTAATATCATTATTGACTTGATTTATTTTATATATTGGTGTTGCTGGTATCGTTGATGTGGTATTTGTTGTTGTTGTTTTAATTATTGTTGCAATCGATGGTGTTTTATTTATAATTAATGGGAGTGATGGTGGCTGTTTTAATTTATATAAATCCATATTATTTAGACAATTCCTATTTTTAAATTGATTAGCATTTTTTCGATCAATTAAAATATTATTTAATTGTTGATTATTATAATTTTTAACATCATCAATCTTATCACGAATATTTTCATTACTATTATTATTTTCATTCTTATTTATTATATTAGATATGCAATTTAAATGATTTTTATTAATCATTTCATTGAAATTTTCTTGAACATTTTCATTTTCAGTAGCAGTAATATCATTTTGGATGTTAATATTATTTTGACTTTTATTTTGAGTATTTTTATTTGTGCTGTCAAAAAAATTTCTTATTGTTTTAGCCGCCATTTTGAATATTACTATGCAGTAAAAATAAAAAAAGGGGACAATTCTTTTTATTTCACTATTTCACTCTATATTTTTCTTTTTTCTTATTTGTTATTTTATCCTTTTTTTGTTTTTCTTTTGAATAAACAATTTTTTTTTTTAAATAAAATACGAGCCCGTTTTTGTTTTTTCTTTTCTTTATAATTAAACAATGTCACAGTATCACTTTTAATAAATATCAATATTTTTTTTAACTTTTCTTTAATATTATTTTGGGTTTTTGAGTATTTTTTCAGGTTAATTAAATTATTTTATTTATTTATTTTGTTATTATTCATGTTATTATTATGTTATTTCAAAAAACTTAAACATTTTCACGGACAAATTATTTCTTCAATGTTTTCCTTTGGATAATGTCAAAACTTAGATTGAAATATAAATTAATATTCCTGTCAAAGTTTTATTCGTATACCTACAAACATAAGAAGAAAAAAAGCTTTATACAATATTATTAGAAAATTATAAGCATATACTCGTATGTATGTGTAGGTCCTTATATTCAGCAAAATATTGTAGCGAATGTCATAAAAACTATGTATTTTGTATTCCATATAAATTTGTACATATTATATGTATAACATATTGTATACACTTAGAAAACGTAATTTTTATATTGTTGAAGTAAGGAATATGCGCATTTTGGAAAAGTCAATTGAATTTTCAATGGAAAGCTTTTTAATGAAAATTATAAAATAAAAAAAAAAATTGAATTTTTCTTTCTTAAACTAAAATTTTTTTTTTGACAATAATAACAATTTTGTAGTTTTTTAGTATAGAGAAACTTTTGTTTTTGTTTTTGAATACTTATGTACTTGAAAAACGTTCTCTCTTAATAACAACAGTTAGGAAAATTTTATTCTCTTTAAATTTATGTATTGTCATTTCTTTTATGTGCATTTTTGTAGTTTTTCATGTTTGATTAAAGAAAAATCTACTATAAATGTCAAAAGTAAAGGGAAATTTTTGTGTAAAAAAAATTTGTGAAAAATGGGAAATTTTTAATATTGCTTAAAGAAAGTATACAAATATATTATGTCTGTATGTATATGAACAAATTTATTGGGACAGTGTTAATGAAAGTAAATAAAAAAAAAAGTATTTTTATTAAACATACACAGAGATTAACGTATAATATAAGTATGTGTGTATATATGAATGTTTATAAAATTTTAATCGAAAATTGTATATTTATGACATGTTTTTCTGTTCGTTTTTCTTTTTTATTTTATTACATACTATTATTTTATTATATTGCATCATTAAAAAAAGAAAAAACGTATAATATAAATGCATTTTTTACAAGGCATTAAAACTTGTACTTATTATGTGTATAAATTGAAATATACGATATTATATCTAAATATATTATTATTGTAAAAATTTCAATTGATTATTAGATTTTAACTTTCTTTTATAGTTATTTCAATTATATATATCGTACATACTTATACATATAATTTTTATTTATTTATTGTTACAATATATATTTTTTTATTCCTTTTTATTCTCTTCTTGAATTATTTACTAGTTAATTGGCAAATAGCATTTGTAGTAAATTTTTATTGAATATTCTAATATAACCAATACCTATACATAAGTATATAACTCATAATTGTAATAATGTTATATATAGCTATGTATTAATAAAATGTAAAAATATATTAAATTGTTATTTATTTTATATGATTTTTATTGTGCACAAGTAACAAAATATCTATAATCATGTATTTATTATGTATAAAATATTCAATAGTTTCAAGGATTTAATAGTCTAACTATATAACTTTATATAGGTAAATAGTGTATAATGTAAAATAAAAATAATAAAGAAAACGAAACGTTGTTGCTGTTTGTTTTTATCTTACATTGTTATTCATTTCATGAATTGTATTAAAGATTTTTTTTTTGCTATATTGTTTTTTTCCTTAATTCAATTTGTTCTTGTTTTTATTTGAATAAATGTGGTATAGTACATTTGAAATTATATTGATCCAAGATTAAATTTAAAATTCAAAAATAATATATACTTAGATAGGTGCTTATAGTAAATGTGGTAAATTATTAAATTAATATTTTAAAGCAAAATTTAATAAGCTAAAAAAAACTAAAAATTAAAAATCATATATTTTTTTTTTGTATAAGTTTTAAAAATATCATGGCAAATAAATACGGGTAAAATCATGTCTGATGAATTATAAAAATTGCCTTTAATTAACTCTTTAAATTGCCTTTTATAAATTAAAAATTAATGGATTATTAAAAATATAAAAAATAAATAATGTGAAAGAATAAAATTACAACTGATTTTTGTTCATTAACAAAAGTAATAAATTAAAAATTTGCATATTGCTGTAACTAAAATTTTGTATATATGTATGTAATATAAATGCACATTCATTTGGAATAATTTTAAAATTTGATTTTATCTACAATTTTTTTTTTTGCTTTTTATTGTTGTTGTTGTAACTGCCTTTGAGACTTGAAAAAAAATTCATTATTAATAATAAACTTTCTGCTTTTATTTTATTAAAAGTTGAAAACTTTTAATTATTTAAAATATGTATATATGAATAAAAAGTTTGTATTTTTAATTATTTTTATTTTAACATTTTTTTTTATAAATAATTTATTTTAGAGCATAAATTTAATATTCATCATGTTGTTATGTATGTGCATAATGTACGAGTATTATAATATTATATATGTATAGTGTATAATGTATTTCATGTAATTTAATATTTATAAAAATGTCTATTATTATATACACATGCATATTTATATACATTTTATTCAGTAATAATTAATCATTGAAATAACAGTATTTCCATTATATTTTTTATTTATTTATAGCTTGTGTTTAATTCTTTTCTTCCTACCGTTATTTATTCCATTTTTCTATATAGCATTATCAATATATTGTGTACGTATATCAGTTGAAATATGCTTATATATAAATATATTATATTAGGTATACGTACATATATGCATCAGCAATTCTTATATATATGTATGTACGTATCCAAAGATATAATTATGTGCGAGTATGAATTTTTCGGATACGTATATAAGTGTGTGTGCGTGTATACAAAAATTCAATTTTTTTTTTTTGGTATTTTTTTCCTACAATTTTTATTTTATTTCTCCGTAGGTATCCTTTTAAAATATGTATGTATGTATAATTTTATTTTATATCCCTTTACTATTTTGTTTTCTGTTTTTTTTTTTTTTTCGTTTATTATTAATTCTTTTGTTTTACATTTTTATGTTATTATTATTATTTTTTTTCATTATTCATTTGTTCTTTTTATATAATATTTTCTGATTCACCAACCGTGATAATAATATTATCCTTTCAAGGATATTTTCATTTATATTATTTTATTTTTCGCTTTTTTCTTTGTTTTTTATTTTTATATATAATTTTTTTTTCAACAAATATTTTTGTTTTCTTCTGTTTTATTAATTTTTGTTTTTTTTTTTATTAATTTTTTTTTTTTTGCAGTAAGGATATAAATGTACCACACACTATTATATTTGAAAAAAAAAATAAAATGTTTTTTTTTTTCCTTTAAAAAAGCTATTAATAATTTATTCAGTTGAATCTGTTTAATATATGAAAATTATAATATTTTTTTTTGAAAAAGAAAAATTATTTTTTCCAAGGCAAAAAATTAAATATTCCAAAACTGTTTGACCAAATATTTCCGACACAATAAGAAGAAAAAATTACCGAAATTTTTATAATTATTAATAAAATATAAAAACTATTGAAAAATTGAAAAATTCAAAAATTTAATACGAACTTTTTTTATTCATAAAATTTTGTTATACACAGACAAACTTTTTTTTAAATAATTAAAAAAAATTCAATGATTATTTGTTGTTGTTATTTGTCTTTTGTTCTTTATTTTTTTTTTATATTTGTTCTTGTTTTTTATTTTGTTTCTCTTATATAGAATTAAGAGTATGTATATTGGTATATATATATAGTCACAATTTTAATATATTGCGTTATTTTAAATTTTTTAACATCCTTACTGCATCCGATGTAAAACTGAACTGCACTAAAATATTTGATTTTAATGCAGGATATTTTATTATACTTTTCTCTAAATTATATAGAGATTTTTTATGAATTTCCCTTTTTTTAAATGTTTTCTTTTTTCATTGAAAGCTTTTGTTACAACAACTGTTAAATAATTTTTGATATTTTTTTTTATAAAAAATAAATTTCTCCTTTTATGTATTTATAAATGTCCTTGTAAAAATTTACAATTTTAAGAAGTAAAAACATTTTTAAAAATATTTTTTTTTTTCATCTAATTTCTCCATTTTTATTATATTAATAAAATATTTTTATTTGTAAGTATATATTAAGTATAAGAAAATTTTTATATTTTTTTGATTCTTTGGGTGTGTAATTGTGTTTGCGTAAATTTACGCGAAAGCTCACAAATTTTTACATATGTATATATGTATCGTTATATACTACAATATAATTGTTATGAATTGTTTAATATAAAAAAGATGTCATTTAATTTTTCGTATTTTTTAAAATTTTTGTTTTTTTTTTCTGTTTTTGTTTTTTTATTTTGATCCTCTGTTAGCACATGAACATAAATGAATTTTTTTTTTATTGGTAATGTAGTATAAAACATGAAAAAATTTCTTTTTAAACTTTTCAATAGTAAAAGCACAATTAATATCGTCAGAACTTATACTATATAGGTACGTATGTACGAGTACTTCGCATAATAAATAATTTTTCAATAGAAAAATACTTAATAATATATTCATAATTAAAGTGTTACCGTTATCGTGAAATATTGTATCTTTGCCTATTACTATATGTTATATAATAAGCATATTATTTTAATTCTATTTTTATTGCTTTTAAATTCCTATAATGAGAAAATTTCACTTCATAGATTTTGGGATATCTCATAATAATTGGATATTCTGCATTAATTCTAAAATGATGCAATTACAGTCGAATATAATTATGTACACCAAAAGTTACAAAATAAAATTTTGCAAAATAAAAAAACTTGTTAAAACAAGTATCATTCATAATCCCTCTCCCCCTACCCCCTTATTGATATCAATGTAAAATGTAAAAATGGTAATCTCAAGAATCAAAATCATTAATTTTTGACCATATTAATAAGTCATTATCCCAAATAAATTCACCGCAGTTTTTACATGTCGTAATTGTGTGCAAGTTACATGCAATTTAAATAAATTCACCTAATATTTATCTAAAAGCCAAATAGAGTTCAGCATGCACAGATATTTTGAATCACTTTGTTCTTTATTTATTTACTTTTTTATTCTTAATTCTTTTTTTTGAAAAATTGGAAAAATTATTTTTTTTTTCTGAATTTTCTTAATGTTAAAGTTGCTGAATTTTCAGATTTTCTTTTTATTATTTTTTATTTTTCTTTTTATACTTCTTGTTTATTTTTCTAATGTTTATTATGGTTAAAAATATGCCTACAAATAGTGAATGATAATCGTAAAATTATATTATGATATACTATATTATTATTATGTTTACTTTGTCACACATAGGAATATAGAAAATAAGGAAAAAAATATTTTTTTTTTGTTAAAACATACAAGCATAATTGTACTCGAATATATTTATGTATATTTTTTCAGAATAAGTCACGCAATGCAATATGATTGTATTGTATTTTAATAATATAGCGATTTTATAATAGCGATTCTATGATTTTAATTATATTACAAATACTACTGTGTACATACACATGGAAAAGCTTTTTTTAGTACGCATGTACATTATCGATCCACAGTTGTTGAAAATTCTTTTTTTCCTTTTTGTTATATTTTTATCATTCTTTCTTTAAAAATGGAAAAAAAAAAAAGAACAACAAAAAAAAAACAAAATGAAATTGGGTTTTACACGTGTATTAAATATTCGCAAAAAGGAGAAAATAATTTAAAAAAATTCTTCTCTTTAAAGCTTATTAAAAATATCCTTTTACTCTACACATAAACAAAAATTAATCTACTGCATGAAATAAGAGAAAAAATCCGAAAAATTTCACAAAAAAACTTTGCACAGCAAAAAGAAGAAAATATTTTTGTTTTTTCTCTTTTAGTTTATGTAAAGGGGAAATAGAATATGAACACATGGGTATACATAGTAGTTCTTTTTTTTTACCTTGAGGAGAGCTTATAAAAGCAAAAACAAAAAATTAAAATAAAGGCAAATAATTGCGCGACCTCGTCAGAAAATATAAAAAGGATATTTTTTTTTTATTTTATTTTCATCTATAATATAATTTTCCAAAAACAACAAAAGAAATGAAAAATGTATATATTTTAGATATATGAGTATAAATACAAAATGTACATATGTACATATAATGTGTATGCATTTAAATCCTTGCAATGGTAATGGAGTTGCCGTAACTTCGCGTGTTCAATTTAGTTGCGGTTAAAAATACAATATATAATATGTATATGTATATACATATAAATTGGTATATGAATAAATGATGTATGTGTGTATCTATGAGTATAAATTATAATTACAAATTTACATATACATTATGTATAGAAGTATAAGGAAAATTTTTGTGAATGACGTAAACTCTTTGAGAAAAGTATAATTATAAAATTTTATGAAATCATATACAATATACATAAATATAGCCTATACTCATATGTATGTACATAAATATATATAATGTATTATTATAATTTTATTGGTTGTATAGATAAAAATGTACATATGTATATGTATAATATATAATATATATATGTATATATAACATTATATATGCATGCTCGAATATATTATATATTTTTTAAGAGAATGTACTGATTTCGTTTTTGTGTTGCATATAGACGAATCGTATAAATAGCTATAGGATCTATAAGATTATGTATATAATATGCAAATATATTATTTTGAAAAACTAAAAATAATTAATAAAATATAATATGTACTTGCTATATTTATTTAAATATAATGCAAATTAATCAGGTATAACTGTATATTGCAAATTGGGCAGATATAAATGTATATACATATAATATACATTTTAATGAATATATTTTTACGTATACCTATTTGGATTTTGTATAACTTTAATGTATATTGATGGAAAGATTTTTTTTATTTTTGTGCGAAAATTTTATATAAAAAAAAAAGTAAAAAATGAAAAATATAATTAAAAAATAAAATAAAATAATTTTTGGAAGAAAATAAGTATTGAAAGCTCTCCAACACAAAATTTGTGCAATTTTAAATTTATATATGAATATATACACAATATATATTATTATGTATACAAATATACATATATTTTTACAATATAATACATATATATATACAATATAATACAATACATATATATATACAATATAATATGATTTTGAAGGATATTCAATTTCTTTCTCTCTCTGATGAATACATTATACTATAAATAAAGACCTTTATATGATCACTTAATACATCTTACAATATTTTAATTAAATTTAAAATTTTCTTATGAAGTTGTGCATGTCTAAATATATAGTTAACGCTTCTTATTTAAAAATTAAATTAGATGTTAAATTTTCTTAAATAAAATCAATTAACACTACACTCGTTCAATAGTAACTCAATTATTTTGTAAGAAAATATTATTACTTTATAAAACAGAAAAAAAATTTAAATTTCATTTGCTGTTTCTTTTTAAATATTTTTAAAACAACGTCGTAAACAGTTGTACAAGCGTCAGTTTTTAAACTGAAGAATGTCGATTTTAAATGCCGGTCGGATTCTTAAAAATATATCAATTTGAAATTTGCAATATTCAATAATACAGAGCGTATAAAAATAAAAATATATAAAAATATAAAATATTGCATCAGCTGAAAATATTAGGTGGTATTCAAACTTACAGTTTAATATAAATTGCAGGAAAAAATTATGGCCTCGCAGGAAAAAATTTTTCTGATTTGCATTTCTAAACCAGATTACAGCTAGCAACGCAGCCTTCTATGTTGGTAACTTAGAGTCCGAGCTTTTCTGATTAAAACTAATGTGAAGTCCAAGCGGAACAGAAACAGAACAGAAAAATACATAAGAAATACTTCGTGATTATTGTGCTGATACTAAAAATTTGTATGTAAAATAAAATTTTAAAATCTTAATCACTTTTTACTCCAATAACATATTGATTTTATTACTATAAGTGTGATAATATAATATAAGTATGTTATTACACTCTAAAACATTCTAAAAACTGTGGGAATTTAAAAGTACGAGTAGTTTACATATTTCTTAATACATTTGTATGTATTGGC